TTGAAGGCGATGGGGGACTGGTTCGGGTTCTTGATCCGCAGAATCCGAGCGACTTCGACAGTGAAGGGACCTGGGAAGAAGAGAATTGTCAGCACCACACAAGATGGGATGCGCGCAAGGAGGACGTACGCTTGAAGCTCAACTCGGTGGGCTCGATTTCGACCGACATGGTGGGTTTGGGGCGGATGCGAAACTAGTGGGTGATGATGTAGAGTAGATTAGGAGAATCCGGCGCAATCGAAACAGGCCTCGGCCTGGGCTAACGGGAGGAAGAGAATTTGCGAGATAAATGTGAGGGGGCGAGACGATGTCGAAGGAGTGTTGCGCGCGGGGCGATATTAGAAAAGTCGATGGGTTGTAAGGTAAGGTCAAGGTTTCTTGAAAGAGTACGAACGTAAGGAGGGAACCTGTGGTAAGGTAGGTAAGGTATGGTGAGGTAAGAAAGGCAAGCAGGGTAATTGACCACGGTTCGGGACGGGTACGAAGTACGGGCAGAAAAGCAGGTGTTTCGCACGCAAGAGCCCACGACGTAATACGCACCACCGCAAGGCAAGGTACCTAAGCAGCGTGGCAGCTAAGGTACCTAACCAACGACAAACTGGGCTGGACTCGATTGGGATAGGGAGGATGCGCACACAAAGTCCGGCTTCTGGGCAAACCAATTCCTCTTCCAGACTCCCACTCTCACTCTCAGTTTCGGGCAGTCCAGGCCAGGTTTCATTAAGGTACACTCTAGACTCTCTAGCCCCCCAGTGGCCCCCTTACAAGTTTAGCGGACGGTCAATCGGAGTCGCGCTCTGGGGCCTCGGGCCTCCACTCGCAGCTTCCCTTGGGAACTTGGGGCAGGGGTGGTTAATCCGGGCCCGGGGGTTTGATTGATCATGTTCATCCACTAAAAGTGGAAGGGACCCCTTCATGTGGCGCTTCTAATTATACCAGGTACTATGACGGTACTTCGCTCTGTCGACGAACCTATGCAGTACCTGTATTGTCTTCAGTCTTTGGAGGAAGAAACTTATTGCTGCCTTGACAGCTCTGGACAAAGTAGACCTGGTTCTAAACTCAAAATATAATCCAACGAAGAGATAGGGACAGAGACAAACATCAATTAGGTACTTACGTTACCTGACAAAGCATGAGGAATAAAGAGCTCCAGAGTCCGTGTTGTCGGTCCCTCCCGCGCTCCAGCCACTGCCAGGTCGCCCCTCTATCCACAGCTCTCATCGGAGAAGGCACCTGCAGATGACGTCTCGGGAAACAACCACTCAACAGTGCCTGCCGTGCCAGCTTTGTTCATACAGCAACGGGAATATCTCGAATCTTATTCACAACTCATCTCATCTCCGATAGGTAAGCCGAGGAGGATACAAATTGCGATTCACACATCGCTTTCACATACTCTTTATTAAAGACTTTTTGTCCTCATTCAAGCAGACAGATTCCCTCACCACCCGAGAAAAACAACCCCGCCATCCACCACCACCACTATCCACCAAAATGACACAGTCAGATCTCGACCAACTGCTCGACATGGGCTTTGAGAAGGCCCGGGCCGAGCTTGCCGTGAAGAAGACTGGAAACCGTGAGTGCCTGACCTATACTATCCGACAAAGATTCATCAAGCATTGTGACAAGAAAGTGTGAGATGGTGTTGCTGACTGATCACAGTGAACGGAGCTCTCGAGTGGCTCGAGACCAACCAAGACAAGCCCCTCGAAGAGCTTGCTACCGCTACTGAAGCTAAGAAGGACGATGATGACGATGATGCCGCTGAAGTCCAAGCCAACATCGAGGCTCTTGAGAACGGCGGTACGGCAAAGTCTCTCGTCTGCAACGAGTGCGGCAAGCGCTTCAGATCTCAGGATACTGCCTCATACCACGCAACAAAGACGTAAGTTGTCATGATCCAATTACCACCACCATTGAATTCAATTCGCCACACTCAAGTCTCCATCGTTACAGGACAGACTGGGCATGCTGAGTACTTACACCGAATATCAGGGACCACACCGACTTCTCAGAGTCGACTGAGGAGATTGCTCCACTGACAGAGGACCAGAAGAAGGAGAAACTCGTCCAGCTCCGAGAGCAGCTCAAGGAGAAGAAGGCGAAGCAGGCCCTCCTCGACAAGGAAGACGCCAAGCGTAATGAGAAGATTCGCATGAAGGCCACAAAGGAGACCCAGGAGGCCAAAGAAGAGCTGGCGCGCAAGGAGCAGATCAAGGAGGCCGCCAAGAAGCGCCAGGAGAAGCAGGACGACATCGAGGCGAAGCGCCGCATCAAGGCAAAGATCGAGGCCGACAAGGAGGAGCGTCGCCGCAAGGCCGAGGAGGCCAAGGCCGCGAGAGAGGGAAGAGCCCCCGAATCTGCCCCGGCCGCCGCCGCCGCCGCATCTGCTGGCCCGAAGACGGTCGCCAATCACAACGAGGCTCGCTTGCGCTTACAGACCGCCGGCGGCAACGTCGTCAAGACCCTGCCTGCTGAGACCACGTTGTTCGAGGTGGCGGAGATGCTCCGGTCCGAGACCGGAACGACAGTCACGAGCTTCTCGACCACGTTCCCTCGCAAGACGTTCGAGGGCCACATGGATCTTAGCAAGACCTTGAAGGAGGCAGGGCTCACTCCCAGCGCCGTTCTCATCGTCAAATAAGCGTTCTAGGATGAGCAGATTCGGGAGTTTCATTCTCCCAGGTTTCTTAAAGGACCCAGAGCCCAGGAAATCGAGGACCCGGAAGATTGCATTAGATGATGGCGTTGCGGATGTCAGGGGGTTAGTCAAAAAACACTCATTGAGTGTGAAAAGAATTGAGAAACAGTGAACGATATCTTCCTACAGTTTTCCTGCTCTCCTCCTTTTCTGATGTGACTGCAATTAATACACGTCCAGCCGAAGCTGGAAGGAGCGTGAGCTTGAACTTAGCAAGGTCAGCAGTGGAATCGTGGACTACATAAGGGTGAGATAGCGTATGTCGGAGTATCATGGACGGTGAGGCTGACCCGACTGTTTACCGAAATTCAATGATACGCGAATACTGGGTGGGCAATGACGAAGACACAGTATCGAGACTGTAGCCGTCAATTGACAAGGTCTGAATTACATAGTCTTACCCACGAGCACCAGTAACCATGTGACTCATCGACTTGACAAACATGTTAACCCTAGCGAGGCTCGACATGTAGGTTGTAGTCTGCCTCACTCTCACCCATCAACATATCCCGATTGGGGCATGCCGATGACGTGGGGAATGGTGACATACATGTGCTGACTACCCCGTATGGCTGTTGGTTTTCGGCTAAGTAGGAATCACAGTCACCAGTTTCCAGAAGTCGAGAAGCCAAGGTAGAGTCATAAGCCATTCCAACTCGAGCTAAGCTGGTGTATCATGTCGACATCCACGGCTCACTCCATTCACCGCGCGGGTCCCGATATTTTCAAAGCATGCCAAATTCCACTTTCATTTTTTGAGGATGTCCAGTGAACTCCGCGTAGAGAGCGTCTTCACATTATCGTATGAGAGCTACTCTGTCCAGGCAGCAGGATATCGTGCCTCCACCCAATCCTTTATGATCGCGCGAATCGTAGAACCCCCGGATCCATGCAGTTGAAGTTACAAAGGGAAGGAAATCGTCGCAGGAAAAATCGCTTAGTCGAAGAGACCGAAGCCCATGTCCTCGTCGGACTCCTCCTTCTCTGTAGCGGCTGTCAGTATTTGTTTCGTGCACAACTTCGTGTACATGGCTGTGGGATTTCAACGTACCCTCCTCCTTGGGTGCCTCCTCGGCGGCAGCCTCGGTAGCACCGCCAGCGGCAGCGCCGCCGGCAGCGGGGGCAGCAGCGCCACCACCGGAGCCAACGTTGGAGAGCAGGTCCTTGACGTCCTTGCCCTCAAGAGCCTATGTGAAATCTCAAATCAGCCTTCGATGTTCTTCCTCGAATCGGTGGAAAATATTGTCGTCGCGTCGTACCTTGGCGAACAGGGAGGTCCAGATGGGCTCGACTTCCTCGATCTTGGCAGCCTTGATCAGGGTCTGGAGCTTGTCGGCCTAAAAATTCCAACACTGTTAGTCTCGTTCCTTGTCGTGATATTTTGGTATTATTTGATATAATTTATTTATTTTCGTGGCGGGGTGACTCGAGGGGCGGACGCACAGTGATCTCGACACCATCATCGGCGAGGATGAGGGCCGCGTAGGAAGAGGCGAGCTCGGCGGTGGACATTGTGACTGATTTGGGCGTTTGCGACTGGAGGTTGTCTTCGCGGATGGTGAGTGTGATTTGCAAAGGAGCAGTCAATATGGTATCGCGAGGTCATCCACCGAGTCAAAATTTGGCAGGGCTTTCAAGACCTAATGAACATTCGGCGGTTTCGGTTAAAGCCCGCCTGCAGTGGGTCTATCTTCAAGATATGTGATTGGACAAAGGTGCGAGCCAATAGGATCCCGGATCGACGACCTGGGCATGCCTGCCCCGCTGCCGTCGGTGACACTTGGGTCATGCCCCACATCGATACCTCGATTTGACTTTCCAAGCAGGTCAGTCACCCCCACCTTCTCTATCAGAAGCGTCGCTGGTTGAGGTGCACCTTTCCATTGGTTTCCGGCCAAGCCAACGAGCGCATCATCCGCATTTTACTTACATACGCAATCCCATCTGCGCATCTTCTACGGATGCCACGGCAGCCCATTCTTTGTCACAGGCTTCTTACCAATACAACTCTGTTCACCAGCACACAACAACCCCAGTGCAACGGGGAATTATATACCTTACACTACCGACGATCGGACTTTAGCTTCCCGGTCCCGACCTGTGAATCACCTTTGGCCCCGCTATCGTGCTTCGTTGAATGTTGGATCATTGGCAGACCTGCAACGGTATCGACTTCCAGCGCAAGAGGTGCATGCCTTGGCCGTCCATGATCTCGAACACTCGGCAGTCGCCCATATTCCAGCTCTACAACCCTCCCAGCAACCAACGCCCGTCTTGAGTTACGTCACGCGAGATGGATACCCCTACATGCCCCCCGCCGCGGGACGACCGCGAGAAGGAGATTCTCGATAAGCTGGTTACGATCCGCGACAGACTTCTGCTCCTGAAGCAGGATCGTACCACTTATATTCGAAGCCAGGACGTTCTCCCGCTCTACGAAGAGACGATCGAGCAGGTTCGCCTGCTCAATGAAGCCCGGACGTCTGACCGAAGGGAGGAGAATAGAGGTAACGCGCTATCGTCCCGACTGTGCGGGGTCAACGGCTAACCCGCGCTGCAGTGGACAGAGTCTTGGAGAGCTGCTTCCAACTACTTTCGCTCTTTTTCATGACCATCGGACGAAACAACGAAGCTCCAGCTGCCTATGCCCTGACCTCGACCGTCCGAAGATTGTTGGACCACCTCACCGAAGTCGACTTGTATTCCATCAAGGACTTGGAGAGCATCTCACACACCCTGACAAAGCTCGAGCAGAATGTCAAGACTACCGAGACCGAGTACCCTCCATATCTCATCACCCTGCTTTCGAACCGGCTGGAGCTCTGTGACAAGTCTCTGGCAAACCTTCGGAAGCGATTGGAGCGATTCGAGGACCCCCTGCCAAAGACATATGAGAAGCTGATCTCTATCCTGAGATCCATGTCTCTGGCGAACACCCGAACAAAGGTATGGCCAGCGTCAAGAGAGATGTGACGCAACAAAGCTGACAGTGATACAGTTCTCGCCATCAGAGGTCCAGAAGCTGCAAGCTCAATTGCGGGAGATCGAGGAGAAGAGACAGGAGGGCAAGCTGCTGACTGCGGACGGAAAGACGCCCGGCGGATTTGATGAGGTGACCGCTTTGCTGGAGAAATGCCTCTTGTGGTCTGATTTCGTTCTTCAGAGGTACGGGATACGCCATCGCCCACGAGAATGTCTCTAACCTTTGCCCAGGAAAGGAGTAATTCCCGACTCTTTCAAGCCAACATACGACATCTTATTCCGCATTCGCAACGAGCTGGAGAAACTCTCGATCACGCAAGCATGGTCCCTTCGAGAGGCGGATCTCTTCGACTTCCAGAGACAGTTGGACAAGATCGACGAGAGCCGAATCGACGGCAACTGGGTGGATGACGAAGGCAAGCCTGCAGAGCTCTACGTTCAGCGTGTAAGTCGGACGAACCTATGTTTTTGACTGAGCTCTACTGACACCAACGACAGACGATGCTCTATCTCATCAGAAGAAGCTACGCCTACATCTACTCGTTGATGATTTCGTCAGAGCCCGTTTCCGAAGCCTTGCTGCCGATCTACAACCAGCTCCAAACACTCAAGCGATGTCTCATCGAGGTCAAGAACAGCGGCGGTGTGCAGTCCGTGAGAGAGCTATACCCTTACAGCATGAAGGTATGATGTGCTTCATCAATAAGTCGAACCAGACTAACAATTCACTTGCAGCTGCACTCGATCGACAACATGCGCCAAGATGGCAAATTCATGATCAACGACGATATCCCGGAAGGGCAGGGCAGTGTAACGGAGCTTCTTGCTGAATGCTTCGAGCTCAACTATGAGCTCAGAGTCGCTGCTGAAGAGCAAGCCGAGGCTTGATGACGATGAGGAAGAGACCTGTTTTGTTTGGCGTAAACGGACTAGCGATTTGTATCATGTCGGTCTTTGTGGGGCTTCTCTTCTGGCCAGTGAAACTGTGATGGACGCAGTTTAATGGGAAATGGTTAAACGGGACGAGGCAAACTCAAGTGTACTCAATTATGGACCAATGACATGATTTCTTTTCACATTTGGGAACCTGAGCTCGGAGCTCCCTTTCTGCCAGAGATCAGATGGCACCTCAGATGGCTACAGAGTGATGGTCAGACGCTGCTCCCGACTCACGGGGGTCTGAAGTACATCACACCTGGTAGCACGCCAATTAGCCATGCAATATCGTGGAGTGGCCATGTTCAGGCCTAGAAGCTACACCGGGAGACTATCGAGACTGCAGATCCCTGTTCCCAAATATGCATGCCTTTTGAGAATGGCCTGGCTTCCTTCCCTTCTCTTGAAGGGCTATAGACAGAATGGCACTGTCTTTTATATTGGCGTGAGGTCGGTGCTCTACAGAGAGCCCGCAGTGGATGTTGATTTTCCATACTCACGTACCAGACTCCTGAGTTTCCTTTAAGATAATTGACTTTGGAAGCTCAATATGGCTTAGGGACCTTACCAGCGTCTCGTTCGACATAGCGATGTCACAAGAGGGAACACAAGTTGGTGTTCGGGAGATAGCCTAACCTAGTAGCTGCTGGTCGAGAATATCTAGGTCGGACGCAATTTGAAAGGCTAGTACCTGACTGACACGGCCCCCAATCAAATATCTGGAACAGGTACGGAGTGAGTAGGTGAAAAGGTGGTGAAACCTCGACCGTGTTGTTGAGTCACCCAATTCCCCCAAACCCCCAGTGCCATCGGGGCATCGGCTCCAGCTTTCCCACCCCAAGGGATCTTTATCACCTACCCCCGAAAATGGCGAAATTCCCGTCCTCCCCTCGGCCCAGCTCCCGAGCTCCTCTTCCTCCTCCCGAACGCCAATTGAGAAGGAATTTAAAATGCTCCAGAAGCCAAGGGCCCCTCCTCCTCAACAGCGCTGGGGGAGAAATCCCGCCCGCAGCGGGGCAGACAGCTGGCTACAGTCGGTTCACGCCGGGCTCGCGCCCTTCGCGCATTCGAGCTCAACCCCGAAGCTGGGGGGGGGGGGGGGGTCCAAGGTCCCGGTTTGTTGGTCTGGGTCAAGAAAGCTAGGTAAGGTGCTGTGTCATCACAGGGCAGCTTCTCAGCCTCTCTGCCCCCCCGGGCGGCGCGAGCACCTCAATGGGGACCTGCGCCGGTCATCGGACCAGCCGAGACTTTCATTTTTTTCCTTCCAAGATCCCATCCCGACCACCCCGCTGCCATCTTGTGATGCACTTGCCGCTCCACCGAGGCAATTGAATCGATCCATATCAGGCCAGTGCCGAGCATAATTGCTGAGCTCTACATACCGGCGCAGCGACAGATGGGTACCTTATTTCGTACCTTACCTTGACTCGATGGGCAGTGCGGGCTTGCACAGCTCCGAGGTGAAGAGCGAAACGGCGAGACGGGGCGGAGTTGGAGCTGGAGGTGGGTGAAGCGGGCGGGCGGTCTCCACCGAGTTCCCGTATCTTTGTTAGTGACACTTGGGATCAGTCATATAATCACTCATCCACATATCGCGTGAGATGGGATTTCCGTCTTTGATATAAAAGAGGATTGGGAGGGTACTGAAAGAACCTGAATGTGCTTCCTATGACCTGTTACTACTTAACTTTACACAACTTACGACCAAATAAGCTTGACATTCCCATCCCTTGCATCACACATCTGCAAGCCATTGACATCTCACCGATAGAGGTCTCACAACTACATACATACCTCACCTTACACATCACACTACCTATACCAGCAACCCCCAAACTCTCATCGATAAAGCTACACATCTAACCTTCCATCTCACCACACATCAACACAACCTCACACAACCACCCAAAAGGCAAATGACAGTCAGGATGTCATCCACAGAAGACACCTCGGCGCACAAGCGCAACGCCTCGGCAACAAGCGCAGTCCAAACCACACCACCACCCGCAAAACGCCTTCCTCCTCCCACGGCATCCTCCTCAGTCGCTTCCTTGCCCCCATCCCGCCGCGAATTCCCCCACACAATCGCCCTCGTCCTCTACAGCGACGGCGGCGCCGACGGCGACATCGCAGCCGCCACGACCGTCATGGGCGCTTTCGCCGCGCTGGCGGACGCCAATGCCGAGGTGAGGAGGATATCGAGGGAGTACGCGGTCCGCGGGGGCGACGGGATGCCGGAGCCCGCAGCGGACAACGCCGGGAAGGACGCGAATCCCGTGCGGTGGAACGGGCCTGAGGGGAACTCGTGCTGGGTCGAGCTTCATGCCGTGACGCCGAAGAGCATTGTGCTGAAGAGCGCGTCTGCGTCGCCGCAGCAGAAGCAGGGAGCCGATCAGCAGCAGAAGAAGCTTTACGACTCTGATGAGGGGGAGGATCCTGATCTTGATGATGAGTTGGATGAGGGCGGTCACTACGACTGAAGAAAGATGTCTCTTTCCGTTTTCTCTTTTCACGCTCGAGTTGTTTGGGATTAGAGGGCTCCTTGGGTTTTACGCCTAGGAAGGTTTGAAGTTCATGGCTGGCGAGACGAAGGCCCCATGAGTGTGCGGCTCTTTCCGATGAGATTCATGAAGAATCGGTAAGTTATTATGGTTATTACGTTACATGTATATGCGGCGGGGCGTTATTATAGATATTGGAAATCCCTCTATTCTATCCTTCTTTCTAGGTATCTAAAATAGCACACAAGATCTCTCTTCTCTCTCTCTACAGTGTCTTTCACGCCAGATGTATGTGAAATCTACGAGAATACCCCTTTCTACTGTCTTACAATCATCTAGGTCCGCCATGAGCATGGCCGAATCTTTATAGTCTACTAATCGGCTGGTCTACAACTTGGCCTTGGGGGCCTCTTGTTGCTGCATCTTCTCGGCGACGATGCGGCGCTGGATCTTGCCCGTGGCTGTCTTGGGCATCGTCTCGGTGAAATAAATCTGACATCTTGTTAGTCTAAATTTCCAGACAATCTCATAAGAGTTTATCAACTAACCTTCTTGGGAACCTTGAACTTGGCCAGCTTCTCCTGCACCCAGCCCTTCAAATCCTCGCCCTTGAGCTGCTGTCCCGGCTTGAGAACAACGGCAACACCGATATCCTGACCGTACATGTCGTCGGGGATGGCGAAGCTGACGGCCTCGGAGACGGCAGGGTGGCGGGTCAAGACGTTGTCAAGCTCAATGGGGCTAATCTTCTCGCCGCCCTTGTTGATGAGCTCCTTGATGCGGCCCGTGATGACAATGTAGCCGTCCTCGTCCTTCTTGCCTTGGTCGCCCGTGCGGAAGAAGCCGCCCTTGGTGTACGACGAGGCGTTGGCGGCGTCGTTGTTGAGGTACCCCTTTGTGACGTTCTCACCACGAATGCAAATCTCGCCCTCCTGGCCCTGAGCGAGCTCGTCACCAGCGTCGTTGAGGATGCGCACGTCGACGCCCTGGCCGAGGCCGACGGTGCCGGGCTTGCGCTTCGCGGGCGGGAGGGGGTTGGAGGTCATCTGGTGGGCAGCCTCGGTCATGGCGTAGGCCTCGAGGACGGGCGCCTTGTACGTCTCCTCAAGCTGGTGGAAGACGGTGGGCGACAGAGGGGAGGAGCAGGAGCGGATGAAGCGAATGGCGGGCAGCGGGCTGGGCGTCGGGTTCTTGAGGAGGATCTGGTGGATTGTGGGCACGGCGGTGTACCAGTTGGCCTTGTGGGTGATGAAGTCTCCCCAGAACTCGGTGGCCGAGAACTTGTTCGGGACGACCATGGAGCCGCCGCAGGCTAGGGGTGCGAGAAGGCCGCAGAGAAGGCCATGGACGTGGAACAGGGGCATGACCAGCATAGTGCGGTCCTCGCTTGTAAGCTGATATGTGTTCTGTATGTTCTCTATCACTGGTGTTAGCCTGGCATCTCAGCTCCTCTCTCCTGCGAGACTTGGACTTACTCATCGTTCTGGTCAGGTTGCGGTGTGTAAGAGGGACCTATACATGATGTTAGCTTTCCCGTGTTCCTCAACTTCTAGTAGACCGACTACGACTTACAACTTTGGGTCTGGAGGTGGTGCCGCTGGTGTGCAGAACCAAGGCAACGTCGTCGGCCTCAGCCTTCAACACCTTCTCAGGCCCCTTGCCCTTGAGCTGTCCCAGATCCTTTACGTCAAGCGCGACCTCCTTCCTGGCCTCATCCCAGTACGTCTCAGCGATGGCGGCGTTGAACTTCTTGGCGGCCTTGACGGCAGGTGCACCGGCGGCATAGGCACCCTTGGGAACCAACACGATGGCGGACTTGACGTCCTCAATGTAGAACTCAAACTCGTCCTGCTTGTAGGCCGGGTTCAGGGGCGCAGCGATGCCACGCTGCCATGAGGCGGCCAGGAAGGAGACGATGAACTCATATGAGTTGACGGTCGCGATGGAAACGGGCGAGGCCTTTGTGATGCCAATGGCGGCCAGCTTCTGCTGGAAGGCCGAGGTCTCCCTCACCAGGTCGCCGTACGTGGCTGTGAGAGCATTGGGCTTGGACGGCACAATGACGGCCGTGGAGTTGGCCGGGCCGTTGATGGCGGTTTGGAGAGTCAACGCCATCTTTGCGTACTTGACGTATGAGGTTTATCTCTCACTCTATTGGATGACAGGGTGTGATTGTGCCTGACCGGACGGCAGTTGAAGAGTTGCAACCACCAGCGAATTCGGAGAAGCTTTTGGAGTAAGGTGAGGTAAGGTGGTGGACGATCAGATGAACTTGTCTAGACAAGGATAGAACCCAGAGGATTCGTCCGGGGTAGGCAATTAGGATATTCAAGGAGCTTGTGTGAGTGAGAGCCGTTCAACGGTAACAATCTTAGATAGAGGTAAAATACAAGTCTACGTTGGAAACAAAAGTTGAGGCACAATGGTCGACTGATAGGGAAACCTGACTAGGACGATGATGTGCTCGGGACCAGCCCAGCCTGGGACAAGCCGGATCACCCCGGTCGGCTTTTTCTTAGCCCGCTGCCACATTTGCCCACTGAAGTTGACTGAACCACTGTAATACCCGCCCTTCCCAGATCAACCGGTGGCTCGTCCCCCACGAAGACCCCCGAAGAAACATGGAACTGCGCTTGCGCGGCGGGCTGGGCGCTGTGCCGGAACGCGCAGGGGTAGGTTTTCAGTGGCCCAGCGGTCATTGAGGTGCTGAAACCCAGGCGGCCAGGCTCCGCTTTACTGACGGAAGAACGGCAGCGAACCGGTGGGTTTGGCTGATTCGCCTTAGGTAAGCTCAGGTATTCGTATCCGTTCTTTACGTCAGGCACCTGGCACTTTAAGGTGCAATCTGCACATTGACATTCGAGGTGCGCTCCCCACGAGTGGGTCCATCAGGCAAGCTTCCCAGCAGCTTCAACTTCGCTGTGCGGAACCAGGCTGAACCTATCTCGTCGTCTCTTTTGCGACGCACTCAATCCTCGCTGCTGGTACTCGCCCATCACGCAGAACACCTCCAATAACCTTCCACCCGACCATTGACCACCATATCAATCCTTCAAAATTACCCCTCCGCGCCGAAAATAAGCTCAATGGCCGCGCCGCCGCCTCCACCTCCGCCCGCGCGAGGAGGCTTGTCGCTCTACGCAAACCTCCTTGACCCAGTCGCCGACCCCTCGGCCACGATCTCGAGCGCTCCCGTCCGCTACAACCAAGACGGCACGGTCGCCGACCCGAAGGATGGGACAGCTGTGAAAAAGCCCATAGACCCATGTACTACCGCCGCTCTCTAGACTATATTCTTCTTCAGGTTCACCAGAAACTTACCTCACTCCAACAGCCCTCCGCTTCCAGCCCATACGCAGACCACAAGCAAAGACAGCGAAACCAAAGCCAAACTTCCCCAAGACGATACCAAGCGCGAACACGTTAGCCGCGGCCACCTCCACAGCAGCTTCTTCCGCGCCAACATCCTCGACGGCAGCCGCCCAACAACCACCGCCGCCAAAGAGCACCCTCGCCGACTGGGCCGTGACAGAGGAAGACGAGTGGCGCTACAGCGTCACCGCAGGCGCCGGTGCCGGTGCCGGAGGCCATCAGCGCGGCGGCCGCAGAAAGAAGAAGAAGAAGGGAAACAACGACCAGCCCGCCGAGACCAACTGGGACGACATCTACGACCCAACGAAGCCCACCAATGTCGAGGAGTATCTGCGCAGCGACGAGCGGATCCACGAGGTGCAGGAGTGGAAGAGGCTGCTCTACCGCCACCGCAGACGCAAGAGTCTGAGCGATGGCAGCGACGAAGAGACGGAGCGCCGGCCGGCGATGAGTGAGTCTTCCCCCCGCCTCAATCTTCTTTGCGCAGAGACGGCACGTTACTTAAACGCTCCCCTCAGATCAGTTCGCCCCTCCAGCCGAATACTCCTTCGTCCCCCCGCCTCCAACATCACCACCCCCAGCCGAACCACGAGCTACGGAAGCAGCAATCGGAGACGACGCATATGCCCGCCGTCAAGCTCTCTCCGCGTCCGCACCACCTCCTCCCCCTCCTCCCCCGGCAGTGACCGACGAAGCAACGATATCCCGTGCACCCGTCCGCTATACTCCATCCTCCACCAAGCAACCGCCCGCAGACGAAGGAGACCCCTCAGACCCAGACTCCCCACCGCCAACCCTCGGCCTCGGCGCCAGCAGGGCACCACCACCACCGCCACCGCCCGCATCAGAAGAAGCTCAGGCCCCGCGATCCTCCCGCCCAGGCCAAGCCGGCTTCGCCCAACGCCTCATGAGCAAGTACGGCTGGACAAAGGGCTCCGGCCTGGGCGCAGACGAGTCCGGCATCGTCAACCCGCTGCGCGTACAGGTCGAGAAGCGCAAGAAGAAGTCGGACGCCGAGGGCGGCGGGTGGGCTGAGCCGGGCAACCGCGCCAAAGTCATTGGCGGGAAGCGCAAGGACGAGACCGATGGCGGCAGCGGCGGCAAGTTTGGCGGGCCCATGAGCGAGGTCATTGTTCTGCAGCGCATGCTGGATAACATGGAGGACCTGCAGGGCGAGATCGCCAATGGGCTGGGGCAGGAGATTGGCGAGGAATGCGGTGAAAAGGTAAGTGATCCATGCTTCACGCTCTCCTGGAGCGACAGAAAGGGACCCTGCCTGCTTTGTGTACCCAGAGATGAAGAATACCATTTGCCGTTTTCCCAAATGCTAATCACGTCCTCTCTTATAGTACGGCAGGGTCGAGCGGTTATACATCGACGTTGAAAAGAGGCAGGTCTTTATCAGGTTTACCGACCAAGTCTCTGCCCTTCGTGTAAGTCTTTCGCCTCCCGGCCACGTTCCACACACAGCAGGGCGTTTTCTAACATGATCACTAAAACAGGCGGTCAATGAGCTGGATGGACGCGTATTCAACGGCAATGTTATAGTGCCAAAGTTCTTCGATACCGAGAAGTTCGACAAAGGTATCTACCAATGACGTAGAATATAGAAAACAAAAAATGGCTACCTCATAAAGTTGCAAACACTTGATGAAGATACGAACAATTAGAAGCTCGCTGCCAAAGGGCCCAGAAAACGTCATTCCGCGAACGGCTTTGGCATTACGTCTACTCATATAGTAACTTCACATCAGACATGGCACTTCAGGGCAATAAGACACAGTGAAACGTTAAAAGTAGAAAAAGGTATACACATCATGGATCCTCAATACACACTACAGCCCTCTCTATCTTCGTTGCCTATCGCCTTGTTGTCCGCCATCAATCTCACGCCTCCGCCAGGTATCTGCCGTTGCCACCGCCCGTGTTTAACCACCCGTCATCCAAGCTCTCGACATGCCGCTCGACCGAACCCTTTTCCCAAAATCGTCTAGGCGGGATATGTAGCGTGGCAAGGTCGAAACCGAATGATGCGGTAGAAACGACGCGACGCGTTGGTCTGTAGGTGCTTTTGGTTCGTCACGCAAAAGAGAGTAAAAAGTCGACGAGGGTCCGTGGCATCTCCACCCATCGTCCAGTATTAAGTCTAGAGGTTCTCCTATACGCAGGAGGTTCCCAGTCTAGGGAATGCGTGAGGGTTTTCGCAAGCTGTTGAGACAGAGTTGCTGTAAAGAAATTGCACAAACAGTGAAAGATGTATGGAGAACGCCACCATTATCCGAGCCCGTATTTCCAGTGCCAGTCGTTTACAACAGCTGAGTGAGACCGAAGAGAACAGCAGCGCCAAGGATGGCGGTGTTGACAGCAACGTTGCCAGCGGCGCCATTGTTGTTGTTGGTGGAGCCACCGGCGGAGCCGCCGTTGCTGTCGCCGTCCTTGTTGGCGTTGGTGTTGTTGCTGCGGCACTTGTAGTCACCCTGGATCTGGCGGCCCTTCATCTTGTTGAAGACGTCGCAAGAGGTGTCAATGTTGCCAGTGGACTGAGTGTCGAAGGCACCCTTGACGTCCTCGAGAGCGGGAAGGTCGACCCTGTATTATTTGTCAGATCTGTCACAGAACCACAAGAAGCCGTAAAACTTACTCAGTGAAGTTGCCACGGAGGAGAACAGCACCGCCAATCTGCTTAAGCTTGGGAAGACCGTCAATCTTCTGGAGAAGGGTGTTGTTCTGGATGGTCAGGCCGCCACCAGTCTTGGCAAGAAGGGGCAGAGACAGGTTGGTGAGCTCGACGTTGTTGATGAAGGAGACATCACCATCGGTGGTCTGGGTCAAGTTGGGGGCGATGAACTCGGTGAAGGTGTTCTTGTCGAACTTGATGGAGCCGTTGACGACCTCGAGGGAGTTCATCTGGACCTTGGCGGCATCGGCAATGATGATCTCACCAGCCCAGATAAGGTTGGGGAGGGTAATACCCAGGTCGGGGCCGTTGGAGTTGATCTCGATGGTCTTGGTGGCGTTGGCCAGCTGGTTGCTGTAAGAAACAAGCTGGTTGTTGTTGTTGATGCGGAGGGAGTCGACAGAGGCGACGTTCAGGCCGTCCAAGCTCTTCAGGAAGGTGTCGCTGATGAGAATGTCGTTAACCTTGGTGACACCGGCGGTACCGAACACCAGGGAGCCGAGGGCGGGCAGAGTGACCCAGTTGATAGAGCCGACGGTGGCGAGCGAGGTGAAGCGCAGGTCAGAAAGGAGGGTCAGGCCCTGCATCTGGAAGGTGCCCTCAACGGAGGCGAGGGTGGAGGAGGTAAGGCCAACAAGCTGAGTGACGTTGGTAACGATCAGGTCGCCCTTGATGGTCTTGGGGCCGTTGATATCGATGTTGCCGGTGATGCTCTCGGAGATCTTTACGGAACCGGTGAAGGTGGTGCAGGGAAGGGCGGTAGCCATGGCGGCATCGGTAACGGTAACGGTGGCCGATGAGCAGATGTTGCTGCTCTGGGCTGGACAAAGCGAATTGTGGTTAGAAAACGTTCATCCCCAAAGAGGGCTTCGAACGGAACATACCAGAGGCAACACCAGCACCGACGGCCGCGAGGGCGGTGATGAGCTTGGAGTACATTGTGATTGATTTGGAGGCTGTGGATTTCGGGGTCAGTTTATCTGTGAAGAATCGATGGCTCGCGATGATCGTTTGAACGGAAAGATAATGGAAGCGTTGATGAATTGGAGTCTACTCCAGGTCGGTATTCCTGAAGCGGTGTTCCAAAAAGCTCGACGTTGGTTGTAGAGGGAGAGGAGGGAAGGGAGTGGAGGAAGTTGACGTCCGCGGGTCGAAAGAATTGGTTGGATATGGGGCTCCGGTGTTTCTTGTGTGTTTCTGAAGGAACCGGCGAGCGACTCCTTTTTTCCCCCAGATGTCGACGATGGGCAAGGCAAGCGACGGTGGAGAAGAGGTGTAGTAGGGCAGAAGGAGAGGCTGGTGGGACGAGATGGAATTGGGCAATGTGTTTTCGGGGCTGGAGGAAGTGAAGAGGAGGCGAGAAGGCATTCCACGACGCGGCAAGCAATGGATGGCGATTTCCTGCCGAGCATTGGCAGCCGCTCTCCGCTCTTCCTTCTCGCCCGTGGCCTCCTTCCTCGTGTTGGGTCTTGTTTTCCGGATCGTTCCACGACAGTTACGTACCTTGAGTCCACGTGTGATTCTTCTTCTCTTTCTCGGTGATGTAGAAAAGGGAAGCTTTTGTTGAAGGCAGGAGATATAAGCCTTTTGTTGCGTACAGAGGAGTGAACGAGAGACGGGAATTGAATGTCAAAACGAACAGAAATGAAGCTGTCACGGAAAGGGAAGAGGAAGAAAATGATCTGGGGGAAGGGAGGGATGGAGGAAGACTGGACTTTGAGTGGTGCCGCTGGTTGGCGTGGACTGGCGCTATGAAGGGTAATAGAGGTATCCGTATCCGTAGTCAGGTAGAGAGGCAGACCCAGGATCCAGGAGGGTGTGGCTAGAGGGGAAACACTCTTTTTTGGAGAAGGGGGTGTGTAGAAAAAGTATCCCGCCGTTCTTCCATACAACTTTGTGTATGAATAGGTACAGCAACAGAGAGGGAGGCAAGGAATGGCCCGAAAGAAGGGGGGGTCAAGGCAATTATCACGCTGCTATTCGTGGTGCACGCTGCGGGTACAAAGTAACCAAGACAGGGACCAGGGCCGGCGAGGGTGTGGTCAAGACTGGAACTGGGACCAAGAACTGACGGACCGGCGCCTCCAGCAGTCCAAGGTATCCGAAGTCTGTAGTGTACGCAGTAGACTGTAGCCCAGCTCCATTAGGGAGCGAGTGAGAGAGAGAGGGAGAATTGAGACTGAAGATGGTGGTGGTACTCTGTAGTTGAGCACTCATGCAGCACCAGCATCGGCATCGTCACCATGGAAGGTTCGGTGCGGTGACACATGTAGGCTGGTGTCTGGAGAAGCTACCAAGTATTTAGTCTGCCGTGTTAGTCTCTCGGGTTTGGTCAACGAAGACGCTCTACCTCAAACTAGAGTCAAGTCCTGTAAGTATCTCAGCTGGCACGGCGCCGAGCTACTCAAGTCAGTTGGGAACTTGAGACTCATTAATGTGCTACGGCGTAGACGGAATCCCCGTGAGCTGCCGCTGCTGTGGATATTGTGTCGCGACTTGCAGGTCTTTTGCGTTTGACGCTGGCAGGTTGCAGACAGACACACTGGCATTGGCAGAGTCTGTGTTATACGTCTATCTGATCATTTGTCTGTCTGTTCAATCTGTCGTGGCTGCAGCAGTCAGTGGGCTGCGTCTTTGGCAGGAATTCTGGGAGGATTTCCTCCAGTATTCTGAGCAACAAAAGTCCGTGTTTTTTCTCGCCATTTACAGACACGCCTCCCGGCCCCCTTTTTCCGCCAGAGTTTATCTGCCGGTCCCGAAGCCTGAGCCTCCTTCCTCTCACAAGGTACTAAGGTAGAAAAATCTCTGGAGCCTCTGCATGGGGGGATCTGCTATCAAGACTTTTCTTGCCTTCCTTGACGCATCAGGATGGAGCAAATGGCCGTAGCAAATATTGAATGGCTTATAATCTGATTAGAGTGATGATGGAATCGCAATGGACACAAAAGCCGGCCGCCATGGCATCAAGTTTCTGCAAATAACCCTGCTTCCACCGGTCTGGCGAGATTTGAAGGTCTTGGTTTCTGGCCTAGCTCCGCCCATCGGGAACCACTTTGGAGCAATCCATCTCCCTCTTTGCACTAGTACAGGGGCAAGGGGCAGAGATGAAGAGTGGGTACCAATTGTACTGTTTAGGTGGGTCTCTTCAGGAAAGGGGGGGTGTTCCTTGTGAAGAAGATACGTACACACACAACACACACAATACTGCGTACACACAATTCTCTCCGTCGTCCAAAGAGGCACGGCCAGAGCGAATAATCAGCACACACACACTCTCTCTCATACACTTTGACACACCAACATACCTTATGCAGACACACAGCTTCCCGTCAGTCAGACACCTCAGTTGACAACAGTCAGCGAGAACCTTACATCTGTCTCCTCTAGAAAGGCAACTCGACTGCCTAAACGGAGTACTTGCGAGGGCTGACGTCTCTACTGATATATAGGACGAACATGCACATGCGCAGTCAAACATGAATCGCCAGACTCTCGCCCCTACGAAATCCCCCAAGCACAGAGGCGAGCACAGAGGCATTCCTCGTCCAATTCGTTCATTGCCCAAGGACGTGATTGATCCGACTTTCCATTCTCTCTGTCACGCCTCGACCGAAAATTCTGTCCGAAAGTCAATGCGCTAGACCAGCCGATGCGAAACCTTCCACTTATTGTGTGGTCTCTGGACCATTCTCGACACGAGCGCTCACAATTTTACATCATCGAGTGCCTAGGCACGAACACCTATTACCTATGCAAAATAAGTAGTTGGTAATGGCAGCACAACCACACTAAAGCAACAAGCAAAACAAACAACAACACGCAGCAGTCATGAATGATCATCCGCCTCGCCTCGTCTCGCCTCCCCGTGCCTCCACAGATCATGTCTGTACCTTACATAAGTTGCTGCACTTGGCCCTGCGCAGTAAGGTCAGGCCTCCCAAAATGGAGATGGATGGACATGGGAATGTCCGACGGATTCTCCCACTCTACAGTTATCCCGCACAAGGCCCTGCCAAGGTCAGACGCGAGAACCAGCCCCAGTATCCACTGACCGAGACTCTGAGACTTTGCACCGCGGATGCTGGAAAGCCTGAACCCACGACCACCTCGCAGATAGTGACCACCCACCACTGCTGCGTTGATAGCGCCTGAGGCCCAGTTGGCAGTGAGGCTCCAGCCGAGACTTCCTTTCTCTTGCAAAAGTGTCACAACTCAAGGACTCCCAATCCACAATTGGCCCTCTTTCCGCCACCAATCAACACCCACCGTCTCGAGCCAGGCTTCTTCTGGCAATCAATCTGCGGTCCGACCTTTTTTTGTTCACACACCCACGACACCCAGTCCGTATTGGTACCGATGGGTGCCGCCAACAACCCGCTGCCCAAAAGCTCCTGCTCGAATCATCGAGGCCTTGCTCAGCTGGCATCGAATCCCCATCGTTGATCGCCTCCATCCCAGAGAAAAACCATCGCAAATGGTGCCAAGTTTGTACCAGGTACATTACCCAGCACGCCACTACCGGCTGCCGCGAACAAGAAAGAAAAAAAAAAACCGCAGGCTATGTCGGCCATCCATCCACAAATTGTTTCATCTCCCTGAGCGGCACAATGTTTTGATTTACAGATCCATCAGTTCAGGACTGCTGGCACCGCCAGGAGCCGCTGCAGTCAATGACGCAGTTGCTCGGCCATCCGAATGATTGTGGGCACGGCCATGGCCTGGACTCGACAAAAACTGTGACGAGGGTCGGGAAGAAGCAAGTTTAAAGCATGTTAATAACTTCGTCTCAAACATAGTGTACAGAGTACGGATGGCCACTCGCAGGCAGATATCAAATCATGCCTGGCTCGCGAGTCGCCCAGGCCTTCACTTCAGGCTTTGCACGGCGGCCTCGATCAGGACTGCAACCCACAGACAAGAAGTTGGTAGTGCATATAGCGCGACGCGTTCAACAAGAGCTTGGCTGTGTCATTGGTCGTTCCCATTCGTCGACGGCTCAACACTGACGGCAGCAGAATGCGGGCATACGGGGGCTTGCTGTGGTCCATCTGCAATCATCGGCTCTGTCAGTTAATCCTATCTCCAGTGTTGCTGCAGCAGTACGGTGGTGGATGAGACGGAGTCGATACCCGGAACCAACCACGGCGATGTGACCCTCATCTTTCATGGGCCCTCACCACCATCAACGGCGATGGCACGACATTTCACAGTCGTGTCGCGTCGCTAGCCATTTCGACGTCTACTTACACCGACGCTAAGGCCCTTCCAAGAATACGCCAACACTGTTCTACGAAACCAGCGAGCCCGAACTTGCAAATGGCGGCTGAGCGCTGACGACTATTTGCCTCCCACGGGTCCATTCTCGGCTGGGTTGTTCAGCGGCCCGCAACAGCACACTCAGCCGCGACTGGTCGGAACTGAAGCTGCCTCCAAGGTTATGTTCTGCCACGATGCCGCACCGAGACAATGAGTCAAATTGGTATACGGATACAGGCACACATGTACAAATCAATATACGAATACTCGATGGCATGCTTGCTGTCTTTTTGCCCCAACCACCAGTGCCTGTCTCGCTCCCCCGAGATTTGCCATCTCTGTGTTCAATGCAGTCTGATGATCAGCCGATAGAAATCCACCAGAAATAGGAGGTCGGAATGGCAATACGGATACAAGCGATAAACGAAAGAACTAGCAACGCAGCAAGATTGCATCGCTGCTACGCACCATATTACCACATGCCAGTCTTCATTTTCGATATCTCTTGCTGCATCTTGTTCCCGGACGGCTCGCGCGTCCCATCCTACGCTAGTGACACACCCGTCACCCCCGGCTTGTCCGCGCTCATCCTAGCTTCATAATCTCTCAGGCTTGCAGGGGGGATACCCAAGACTTCCAGGTTTTCCAATGGCTCTGCCAGCTGCTGTGGCTGCCGTTTCTGA